CCCTGCCCGCCGCGGCGCCCCTGGCCCCTGGAGCAGCCGCCCCTGCAGCAGCCGCGGAGCCCTCGCCCTGCGGTGGTAGTGGCCTCGCCATTGCTGCTGTCGTACTCCTGCCCTTCTTGCCACTGGTGAGCACTGCTGTTACTGCTGCTCTTGCTGCTACTGCTCTTTCTACTGGTACTGCTGCTCCTGGCGTGGCTAGATGCAGCTCCAGCGCCGTCTGCGTGAGTCCCTCGCCCCCCATCTGCTTCGTGAGTGGTACGCTAGTTGGGGTTGTAGGGGTGGCCGCGATGCTACTACTGCTACTGCTTTTACTGCTGCTACTGCTGCTACTGCGGCTACCACTGCTCCTGATGCTCCTGGCGGTGCCCAGATGCAGCTCCAACGTCGTCCGCATGAGTCCCTCACGCCCCAGCAGCTTCGTGAGTGGTACCCTACTTGGGGCTGTCAGGGTGGTCGTAGTGGGAGTCGTCCTGGAGTGGGTACTTCTGGAGCTGCTTGTAGTGACCAGGTGCAGCTGCAGCATCGTCCGCGCTCGGTCCTTTCGCCCCAGCAGCTTCGTGAGTGGTACGCTAAGAGTGGAGGGTCACGGAGTACTGCTCGCTGTCCGTGCGTCATTCGCACTGGTGCTCGGACCGGTAAGCCTTGCGGGACGCTTGGTCACGCAGAGTCCCGCTGCTTCCCCCGTCTGAGCGACGCCTGGTGTAAGGAGTTTGGCGACGCGGCTGAGCTCCCCGACTGGGTGGAGCTACTTAGGCAGAGGGTAGATATCTATGCACTTGACTATGATGCTATCCTCGCTGCCATGTATGCATTGCCTACTAATGATGAGGGTGACTGTTACCTGTATGTTCCGCCTGACCCGGGCATTGAGGCTGCTGCTCTAGGTGCTGGTGAGGCTGCTGCTCTAGGTGCTAGTGCGTCTGCTGCCCCAGGTGCTGGTGAGTCTGCTCTCTCAGGTACCTCGTTGTCTCAGGCTTTACACACCTTCACCCTTGACTCAAATGCTTCCCGCTCCTTCTTTCGAGACCGCACCACACTCATGCCGCTTAGTTGGCCGGTTGCAGTCTCCCTGGCACACCCCTCTGGGGGTCCTGTCCTTGCCCACTTCTCCACTGTCTTACCGTGTCCGGCGGCCCCTTCTAGCTCCGATAAAGAAATTATTGCACAGCAACTCCGTGAAAAAAAAATCATGCCAAACACAATTTCAAGACCGCCTCGTTAGGGCTCGCTACAAGTCGAACCAAGAAGCCCAAAGCTCGGGTTTGTGTCATCCCATATTTGCGGTTTGGAAAAGCTCGGGTTTGTGTCATCCCATATTTATGTCATCCCATATTTTTTTTCCATAATTTGTGTCATCGCTAGAAGCCGACCCGAGCTGAAATCCAAACCCGTTGACAAATCGGGTTTGGGTTGACAAATCGCTGCAAGCTCGGGTTTCTATAATTTGCGTCAGAACTATGTTGTAGGCTGTAGTGGGGCACTCCTTGTGGGGTTCAGTATTGTTAGGTTTTGCCTGTACAAACCTTGTACTGCCCTATTTCTAGTCATTCCTCGTTCTATCTTTCACATGGTTTCAGAGCAGGTTCACTAGTGGGAACGTTTTTTTTAAGGGCCCACCACGATCGTTTTTTCCTGCCCTGCTTGAAGCGCGCCTCGCGCCTACCTCACCTGCGCCGTCGCGAGCCCTGCCCTAGTGCCGCCCGTAGCGGCTCTGCCCTCTCGGCCCGTCGCAACCCTGCCCTAACGGCCCGTCGCGGCCCTGACCTCGCCGCCCGTCGCGGCCCTGACCTCGCCGCCCGTCGCGACCTTGCCCTACCGCCACCCGTCGCTGTGAGAGTACGACGGCTTATGCCAGCTATGCTTGCTTGCCTTTACTTTATCATGCTATTTCTAGCATAGGATAATCATATGCATGCATGAATTGCTTGATTTCCTAGGCTAGGTGCTTTCCTATATTTTATTATAGTTATAGCACCGAGCTAGGTTGCGTGCACCGAATTCTGGCCTTTTCGGTTGCCACCGAATTGCCTTCTACCGAATTCGGTAAGGATCCGTTCGGGACGCTACGCGGCCCGCGGAACCTTCGCGTAACACCTGGTTACGGGGCCTTGTGTCGAGCCTATATATAGCCTCGTGTTGTACCTAGGTGATCATTCAATTCGACTCAATTCTCATTCTCTTTTCTGAGCTCGATCCTAGATCCTCACACTTGGTAATCAGAGCCCGTTTACACACGAAGTTCTTTCGACCGCTAAAACCCAGTCTTCAAAAACCGCGGGGGCGACGCAGTCAAACATCGATTTCGGGTACGTAAAACCGGTTCCGTGTTTTTCGCTCCCCCTTGATTCGGTTTTTCGGACGCGTTGATGTCAGGCATGGAGGGCCAAGGCGACAACTACGCGACTACGAGCGACATTGCGAGCCTCCGCACCGACATGGAGCAGACGCAGGCGACACTTCGTCGGCTCGAGGCTTTTCTGACAAGCCTACCAGGGTTCGCTACCGCAGCAGCAGCGACCGCAGCGACTGCAGCACCGACAACTCCAGCAGCAGTGGCGACACCGACATTTCACGGACCTATGGCACCACTGTCGCCGAACCTTGAAGCAGCACGACCGAGGCTCCCGGAGGCGTTCGATCCAAGCGCGAAGGGATCCGACGTCCGGCGATTCGTGGCCACCCTCGAAATTTACTTCGAGGCCATTGGCTGTTCGACCCCGCAACATGACGCAGTAAGGATTAGGCTCGCAGCGACACTGTTACGTGGACCGGCTCTCGAATGGATTTACTACACCGGCGTAGCCCGCGGGGAGAAAACGTGGCAGCAGTTTCGGGCAGATTTAATCGAGCGTTTCGAACCAATTAATACAACCTACATGGCGCGGCAGCAGATACACCGACACAAGCAATACAGTAGTGTAACACAGAACACGCAGCAGATGGAGTTACTGTTCAACCGCATCACTGACCTGACCGAAGGCGAAAAAATCCAGGCGTACACCGAAGGGTTAAAAATGGAGATTCGGCGGCAGGTGATTGCGGCGAATTACAACAGCTACAGAGACATCGTGCGTGCTGCCAAGCGATACGACGCGCTGACTCGAGGTCAACCCGAAACACGACGCTTCACGCCGAACCGTACATTCGGCACGGAGCGATCGGCACCCCCCACGTTCGCCGAACCAATGGATATCGACAAATACGACGCTAAGCAGTAGCCCACAAAATGCGAATTTTAAGGCGCAGCAGGACATCAGTTTTTTTCGTGCTACAAAATGAAGAAAGCACGTGCGGCACTCCGGGACGGAAACACTGGCGCACCCCCGAAGTAAAAAAACGGGAATCGCCAGTAGCCGCGGATCGACCTGGCGATCGCGTAAAGATCCAAAAAGCAGGAAAAGGCGACGACGTGGCGACTTCGGAGCGGGTGAAAAAAGGAGAAAATGATGGCGCGAATTTAAAACGTCACGACCGGCCGGCATCAGGGGAAATCGCGGAGGCGAATGGAGGCTCCGCGAAAAAAGACTCTGCACCGACCGGGAAACTCCAGCCGAACACCCACGAAAGTAAGAATTCATTAAAAGTATCCTATAAAGATGCTCTAACGAAGAATATTGCTTCTCGTGGTTTTCAAGCCTTTAAAAAATTCAGGGGAGGTTTAGAGGCCAAGAAAAAGCCTTTAGAAATTATTCAGGTACCTGAGAAGTTGGGCAAAGTACTACGGAGCGTAGAAAAGGGTCGTGCGTTCCGTGGAGTTAATATTCTCTCCCCGAAGTACAGTGTTAAGGCTCCCCGTTGCCCACAGGTGAAGCCTACACAGCTGCCAAGGCTTAGAGGAGACATCCAGGCTAAGGAGAAATTATACAAGCCTCGGAAAAATCCTCCTACCCCCCAGGTGAAGTTGGAAAGCGCTGAGTCAGGTATAGGAAAAAGGGAAGGTATTAAGTTTGATGTACACTATGATCCTATTAACGAGACCCTCTTTGGCTACTCAGCGCAGCAGAAACCACTACTCCTCTAGGTGTTATGCAATGGGCGATGCCTCCAGGCACTGGTGGACAGCGATGCATCTGACTCGGTGTGTGACCGCGGAGCATTGGAGAAAATTGGAGAGAAGGCGGAAGAGACCCAGTTTTCAGCAACCATGGTGGACGGTACAAAGCTTCCTATCCACGGCGAAGCATCACTGCAGCTGCATATAGGTGCGTTGAGGTGGAAGCCGAAGCTACTAGTCACCAACATCAAAGGATTAGATTTTATCTTGGGGCGAGATTTCCTGAAGCGGTTCAACCCCGAAATCGATTGGGTCAACAGCAAGGTGTGCATCTACAACAACGGGAAGCGGATAGCACTGCGAAGCTGGACGGATACAGGGAACGTTCCTGAAACGACACTTGCACGGTTCGAACAGACGGTGAACGAGAGTAACACGGGTTACCTAGCACTGGTCATGGCAGCAGCAGAGGAGGAGAAGCCGAGTTCTGAGCTACCTGCAGTAGTAAAGGAGGTCTTGGAGCAATACGAGGATATAATGCCCGACGACCTACCTGCAGGCGTACCTCCAGCACGCACCCACGAGCACGAGATCGTGGAGGAACCAGGTGCAAAACCCGTCTCACGTGCACCATACCGACTGAGTCCGACTGAACTGACAGACATGAAAAAACAGATAGAGTATCTACTGGACAAACAACTGATCCGCCCATCCACCTCTCCCTACGGTGCACCAATTCTCTTCACTCCAAAACCAGACGGCAGTCTACGGATGTGCATCGACTACCGTTGAAAACAAGTACCCCATTCCGCGCATCGACGACTTACTGGACCAACTACGTGGTGCAACAGTCTTTTCGAAGCTGGACCTACGGTCGGGCTACTAGCAGATCAAGATGGCGGACAACTCGATCCACAAGACGGCGTTCCGTACCAGATACGGCTCCTACGAATACTTGGTGATGCCGTTCGGACTCAGCAACGCACCAGCAACGTTTCAGGCGGAGATGAATCACATCTTACGACCCCTGCTGGACGAGTGCGTGGTGGTGTACCTGGACGACATTCTCATCTACTCCAAGAACATGAAGGAGCACGTGGAGCATCTACGGAAGGTGTTCGAGATCCTGCGGAAAAACAAGCTCTACGTGAAGCTGTCGAAGAGCGACTTCGCCCTGAAGAAGGTGCAGTTTCTCGGGCACATGGTGAGTGCCGAGGGCGTACACGTGGACCCGCGGAAGATCGAAGCCGTCAAGAAGTGGAAAGTACCGGAGAACGTGAAGGAGTTGCAGCAGTTCCTAGGCTTCGCCAACTACTACAACAGGTTCGTGCCGCAGTACGCTAAGATAGCAGCGCCACTGACCGACCTACTGAAAAAGGATACACCCTACAAGTGGGATACTCCTCATCAGCAAGCCATGGAGCAGCTACAGACAGCACTGACTACAGCGCCAGTACTCATCCTACCCGATCCAGACAAGGACTACGTGGTGGAAGTAGACGCTAGTGACCAAGCAGTCGGAGCAGTACTGATGCAGGATCACGGACGCGGCTTGCAGCCTATTGCCTACCTCAGTAAGAAACTACACGGACCAGAACTAAACTACCCCATTCACGACAAGGAAGCCTTAGCGATAGTCATAGCCTTCAAGGCGTGGAGGTGTTACCTAGAGGGAGCCAAGACTACAATCGATACTGACCACAACAGTCTCAAATACCTGAAGTAGCAGCCGACGCTCTCACGACGACAGGTGCGGTGGGTGGACTTCCTGGAAACTCACTTCCACTACGACATCGTCTACAAGCCAGGGCTACACAACAAGGCAGACGCATTGAGCCGCCCCGGACATGTAGCAGGCATCCAGCTCGACGGGATGAACCCTCTGCTCAAGGGTCTATTCCAACATGGGTACTCCGTGGACGCAGAGATCACTACAGCACAAACTAAGAAGCTGTTACAGTGGGAGAAAGACTTAGCTGTAAGGAAGGGTTCAGGAAAGATTTGGGTACCGAATTACGCCCCGCTACGGCAGATCCTATTGGAGGAGTTTCACGACGTACCATACGCGGGACATTTCGGGAGCAACAAAACGTTAGCAGGGATAGCGAAGTATTACTACTGGGCCGAGATGGCAGCAGACGTGCAGCAGTTCATCACCTCTTCTGACACGTGCCAGCGGATGAAGAGTAGCAAGCAGAAAAAGCAGGGTTACTTCAGCCTCTACCCGTACCGGAGCAGCCATGGCAGGTCGTTAGCCTCGACCTCATCACCGGACTTCCTTCGACCTCACGGGGGCACGATTCCATCCTCGTAGTCATCGATAAGTTCTCCAAAATGGGTCACTTCATACCGACCAACGCCACAGCTACAGCTGAAGCAACTGCTCGCCTCTTCTTCGACCGCATCATCACCATCCACGGCATTCCCGCTACACTCATCTCAGACAGAGACCCAAAATTCACCAATAAGTTCTGGAAGGAGCTCATGGGACTGTTGGGGACAAAGCTTGCAATGTCTTCAGCATACCACCCCCAGACTGACGGACAGATAGAGCGACTCAATCAAGTGGTTGAACAGTTACTGCGCACAGCTTGCAAGGACGACGTCAGCCACTGGGACACACAGTTACCGGCCCTAGAGTTCGCTTACAACAACGCCTCACATGCGGCCACAGGGAAAACTCCTTTCTTCCTGTGTTACGGACGGGAACCACTCACACCACAGCACCCAACCACACCGGCACACGTCCAAGCCGCACATGACTTCGTCACCACCATGCAGCAGCTATGGGAGAAAACTCAGCGACGACTCACCACGATGCAGACCTCCCAGAAGCAGTATGCCGATCGTCAGCGACGTGATCACTCAGTAGCAGTCGGAGACCAGATGCTTCTTGACACGCACAACTTGAACCTGTCTCACCTCCCATCCAAACTCCGGCCTCGCTTCTGTGGTCCTTTTCTCGTTGAGGCACAGGTGACACCAGTTACATTCCGCTTGCGCTTACCAGATACTTGGAAGCTTCACAACGCTTTCCATGTGCAGCTACTGAAACCCTACAAGGACCCCAACCAACAGATCCAGGGACGGCAGCTACCGCCACCTCCACCTGTTCTTGTGCAGGATGAACCCGAGTAAGAGATTGAGCGCGTTCTCTCTCATCGGCGCCGTAAAGGCAAGACCCTCGAGTTCCTGATACGCAGGAAGGGATACGACCCCACTGAGGACAGTTGGGTTGCAGAAGCTGATATGGGCAACGCACGCCGTGCTCTCAAGGACTATCTTGTCAAGCAGGGTGTATCTCACGCCACCCAGCTTTGAGGGGGGGACGTGTGAGAGTACGACGGCTTATGCCAGCTATGCTTGCTTGCCTTTACTTTATCATGCTATTTCTAGCATAGGATAATCATATGCATGCATGAATTGTTTGATTTCCTAGGCTAGGTGCTTCCCTATATTTTATTATAGTTATAGCACCGAGCTAGGTTGCGTGTACCGAATTCTGGCCTTTTCGGTTGCCACCGAATTGCCTTCTACCGAATTTGGTAAGGATCCGTTCGGGACGCTACGCGGCCCGCGGAACCTTCGCGTAACACCTGGTTACGGGGCCTTGTGTCGAGCCTATATATAGCCTCGTGTTGTACCCTGGTGATCATTTCAATTCGACTCAATTCTCATTCTCTTTTCTGAGCTCGATCCTAGATCCTCACAGTCGCGGCCCTGCCCTTAGCCGCTCGTCACAGCCCTGCTCTACCAGCTCGTCGTGGCCCTGCCCTGCTGCCGCCCCGTCGCGGCCCTGCTCTGCCGCCGCTTCGTCGCGACCCTGCTCTACAGCCGCCCCGTTGCGGCCCTGACCTAACCACCCATCGCGGCCCTACCCTGCACCCGCCCCTGGTAAGCGCCCCTGAAGCCCATCGCCTCACGCGCCCCTGCTTCCCGCCGCGTCGTGCCCCCCTGCAGCACGTCCCATCGCACACCCCTGCAGCCCGTCGCATCGCGCACCCCTGCAGCCTGTCGCGTCGCCCGTCGGCCCTGCCCGTGCCCGTCGTGTCGCCAGAGCGGGCTGCCCCAGCCCGCCACGACGCCCGTCCGCCCTGCCTACCTGCGCGTGTAATGTGATGCTATCATCTGCATTCACGTCTGTCTGCCTCCCATCATATGTTCGTGCGTTGCATGCGTGGTGTGAGTGTGTGCAAGAATTTATGTTTTCTGTGGTTTGGATTCTCTGAGTGTGTGTGAATGTTATTTGGGTTGAGCAGATACCTGAAGTGACTCCTCTGCTCAAGAGCTTTCCGACGAACCAAGTATCGCTTCAATCGGAGCATGAACAAGATAGTTACGAACGTTGGAAGTTCATATGCTTTTAATATTTGGTTGTGGTGACTATGGGAAGTTGTGGGGTTGAATCCATGAGGGGTATAGACTTTTGGGGGTTGGGAAATTCGTCAACATCATTGTAGATGCTGCCAAGTGGTTGGGAGGGGCCAAACCAGGTTGGCAAGTGTGGCCAAGTTGGGCAAGGTGGATGACATGGGTTGGAAAGTGACAAAACTAAAAGTGGGGTTCCTATAGGGAAGGGATTTGGTGTGCTTATAGGGTTTCCTTGGTTGGGGAATCCTTGGGGACCTTCCCTCTCTTCCTCCTCTTCCCTCCCACCTGGTTAATTGCTACTCCAACTTTCTTGTGTGAAATTGTGAGACAATTGTGATTGAGTTAAGATTCTATGGCAGCATACCCCCTAGTGCGCCGAAATTGATAACTCACAAAATACTTCACCTTTTCGTACAACTTAACTTGGGAATTGTAGCCACGGACTAGAGCTACAGCATATCCGAAATTTGTGAAGTTTTAACAGTCCACTTTTCGTCAACAGCGTTTCTTGTGAGCGCGACGATTCTGTCCAGAAATTGAGACCAACGATTTTGTGATATTTAGGCCCATAATCTTCATAGACTCCGTCCTTAGTCTCTAACAAGTGGTATCAGAGCTGATTAAGGACCTTGTGGGGAGTCTAATGAAGTGTGAAGACCCTCCTAGACCCACCATGGCCTGTGGGCGTGCCTAAGTTGAGTTCTGGATGTTGGATGTGACTTCCGCTAAGGGGAAACTCTGCCGAAATTTTGTTGGCACCGTCACTTGTGAAAGTTTTATGGATCTACATTGTGACCAGCAAAGGGGGGAGCTGAAACCTGTTTTTGGGAGTAGAGGAGATGCGTCAAGGGAGTGGAGAAGCAAGTGAGAAGAGGAGTGAGCCGCCACCATCCAAGATTGAGGCGTTGGATGGCTCCAACTACGAGGAATGGAGCGGGCGGATGAGGAGCGTCTTCAAGCGCTACAAGCTGATGAAACTTGCGATGGGAGAAGAGAAGATGCCCGAGGAAAGAGATGCTCGGGATCGGTGGATCGAGCGGAGCGCGGTGTTGTTCGACCTCATCTTGCAATCGGTCAACAACGACATGTTCCAGCACATCAAGGACTTGGTTGAGTTGGACGACTCCGCTCCTAAGGCGTGGAAGCTACTGCGCGACGTGATTCAGCCCAACATGCTGCCCATGATGATCGTGCTCGAGAAGGAGCTGGCGGCCATCTCCATGCGATCAGGGGATGATGTGAAGCCGGTCCTTGACAAGATCAAGGACACTTATGTGAGGATGGCAGCGGCGGGCAGCGAGGTGTCGCAGATGCAGCAATGCACCAAGATCATCTCGGTGCTCGACAACTCGTGGGACAACCTCATCCCCACCCTCAACGTTCAGCAGGACAAGTGGACGCCTGAGTGGCTACGGCAGCAGATCCTACAAAAGGACTTCCGCAAGCGCCACACAGGAGGTGGTGCTGCCAACAAAATTGCTGAGGGGTATGGAGCTGCAGGAGGCAGCAGAGGAAGAGGGGGAGGGAGAGGCCGAGGCCGTGGGAGAGGCTTTGGCAGAGGGAGAGGCCGAGGTGACTACGATGAGGGGCATGGGAGCTCCGGTGGCAGGGGGAGCACCCGAATGGAGGGTGCGTGCTGGTACTGCAAGAAGGCTGGACACCTGTGGTTCAAGTGTTTCAGCCGGCCTGAGGGATGGGCGCCCCCAGGCATGAAGCCGCCAAGTGCTGAACGTGCACGAGGTGGCGCTGTGCAAGGTGCAGGTGCACAAGGTGATGGTGCACAAGGTAAAACCGACCCTGGGATGTTCCTCATGGTTGAGGATGTGCAAGGGAGTGGGGGTGATGTGGGTTCAGTTGGGAAGGTAGTGATGCACCCCCTCACTCACTGGGTGATCGATTCAGGTTGCACAAGTCACATGACCCCACTGGCAGATTTGCTTGACGAGGTAAAACCCCCTGGGAAGATCAAGTTTGTGGCTGCCGCTTCAGGTGCTTTGCTCCCTGTGATTGGTGTTGGGAATGCCAAGGTAATGGGAGCCAAAGGGGAGCTTGTGGGGCTGGGGAATGTGTTGCTAGTAGAAGGTTTGTCCGCTAACCTCCTCTCTGTGCGTCAGCTGCAGAAAAGCAAGGCCAAAGTTACGTTCGGCCCAACCAGCTGCCGTGCAAAGCTAGGGAAGTTGCTGCTGTGGGGTTTGGAGGAGAAGAGCAGCTGCATCAAGGACCTATGGCAGCTGCCCATCATTCCTTGGAATGGGAAACCACCAGCAACGGCAGTGGCTGCAGCAACGGCTAAGGCAACTGCAGGGGGAGAGGAGACTGCACCAACTGCTGGGGCCCTGGATGCAGTCAAGAAGGTGCAGCAGTCATAGCAGCTACATGGTGAGGTGCTTGCTGGTGTGGATGCGACAGCTGCATGGGCAAAGGCTTCATCTGGGAGTGGTGAGGCCGATTGGGAGATGTGGCA